TTTAGTTGTAGATGGACACAATACCATTATTTATTTATTTTTATGTGGTGCTGAGGATCGAACCCAGGGCTTTACACATGCAAGTCTAGTTCTCTACCACTGACCCACAACCCCAGTCCGCCATTAGTTTCTTTCTTTTTTTTTTAACATTTACTTTTTAGTTGTAGGTAACACAATACCTTTATTTTATTTTTATGTGATGCTGAGGATTGAAGCCAGTGCCTCACATATGCTAGGCAAGCACTCTACCTCTGAGCCACCGCCATTAGTTTCTTTAGGAGAGTTATGATTTCAATAAAAATATAAATCAGAAATGCCAATTATCTTTTATATAATTTTCCCTTAATACAGTGTTGGAATTTTTTCTCTTAAGTATTCCATTATCTATTCTTTTCAAGCTAAAATAGAAATGGTGTCAAGTGCTTGTTTTAATAACAGGAGAAATAATCGTGGAAGTGCCATTTTACCCCTGGGTACTTATTGGTAAACCTTTGATATCCTGAGCAAGGCTGAGACCTAAGAAGTCAGTAAAAAAGTCTTTTGGATTACCAGATAGTTGTCTCAATTTCAGGCATTGATGTATAGATGGTCCCTAACTTAGGATGGTTTGACTTAGGATTTTTTTGACTTTACAATGCTGTAAAACAGCATGCATTCAGTAGGATCTGTGCTTTTTTAATTTTTAAGTTTGATCTTTTTCCAGGCTGGTGATATGGGGTCCAATCCTCTGTTGCAGTGATGAGCAGTGACAGTGCAGGAGTCAGCCACGGGTTCACAAGGGGAATCAACTGTCACTCTATAGTGCACTGTGTGGCTAAGCTATGATGATTGGTATGTTAAGTATCTTAAATGCATTTTCCACTTAATGATATTTTCAACATATGATGAGTTTATCAGGACATCAGCCCATTGTACATGGAGCAGCATCCATATTCATTCTAGAAGAGCCTGCCAGACTGTCCCTCAGACCCCACTGACTCTTGTTTTACATACAATTGTCACAGATCCAATAGTTTGGTTTCTAGGTCCACAGTAGACTCCTTGAAGCAGCTAAACAGAAAACAGGGACAATAACAAAAATGACAGGTCTGGAGAGAAGGGAGAAGACAGAAAGAACGCATAAGTAAGGAAATATATCAAAAAAGTATCTCATTCTGGAGCCGGTTCACTCCCATTCCATTGTCCTGGCTGGGTGTAGAGATGGAAGGGGGCTTGCCTACATTTTTAACATTTCTAAAGCTAGAGAGGCTGATCCCAAGTTGGGGACTTGCAGGGTGTTATGGTTTGGACATGAGGTGTCCCCTAAAAGCTCCTGTGTTAATGCAGGAGTGTTTGGAGGGAAAATTATTAGACTGTGATCAGTCCATCCTAACCAGTCCATCCTAGTTTGAATGGATTTAAGTGGATGATAATTGTAGGCAGGTGAGCATGGCTGGAGGAATTGGGTCACTGGTGGCATTCTCTGAATGGGTTCATCTTTATGACCCTTTCCTCTTTTCTTTCTGCTTCCTGGCTGCCATGAATTGAGAAGCTTCTGTCTGACACACATTTTCACCAGGGTGTTCTGCTTTATCTTAAGCCCAGAGCAATGGAGTAAGCCCCAGATGGACCAAACTTCTAAAACTATGAGCCAAAATAAACTTTTCCTCCTCTAAGTAGTGCTTGTTAGGTATTTTAGTCACAGCAATGAAAAGCTGACTAACACACGGGGCTTCAAGTAAGAGCAAAGCTGAACTTAGAAAGAAACCAGATACTGACAGATCTAAATAACAGGGCAGGACATGTTGGGAAAAACAGTGTACCTGTTCTCCTTCTGCCTCTACACCACAATCAACATAAAAGATTTATGTGACCCCAAATGGCATGTTATTTCTCCCTAGCAGCAAGCAAACAATTCTGCAGCTGGGTGTCTTCTGATATAATTCACTTCTGTTACTGTTTATCTGGAAATAACTACAGTTGGGGTTCCCATCACCCCCTCTTCAGGTTTGATTAATTTGCCAGAGAAACTCACAGAAATCCACATTTGTAAGGATACAAATATGAAGCCAGATGAAGAGACACATAGGGAAAGGTCTGTAAGAATCCTGAGCACAGGGGCTTCTGTCCCCATGGAGTTGGGGTTCACCCCACTGCTGGAAAGTGGATGAGTTCTCATTCACCTTCCAGAATCTCCATGGATTCAGCTGTCTAGCAGCTGTCTGAACCCTGTCCTTTGGGTTTTTATAAAGATTTCATTAC